GGCCATGTTGCATCAACAATAACCCACAGGATCATACTCCGGATGACTTGGCTAACATTGCGGATTAGCACAATAATTTTTCAATTCTGCACACCCTACTCCCCTGTTCCAATACAATAAACAACAATAAAAGAACAACCAACAACAACAACAACAAAAATACAGTAGACAACGTTTCAGTTGAACCTGCTTCCGCTAATCTGAACTTTCGGCATGCAACAGAAACATGAAGTGTGAATACGAAGGTTCAAAAGTATTCGAGTACATACCCATTCTCGAGCCTCATCGCGATTGTGACGACTTTCTGACTGTTCGGTCCAACGACGGCGTCCATATGTTCACATAAATTAAGAGATATGGTACTGCACGCTGCGCTGTCTAAAGACTTCTACAGTGGGGAAATAGCGAGGCGAATCCTAAGAGGTTTCCGAGATGCGGGTGGCCAATTCTATGCTGGATTAATGTATGTCGGTTTGGAGTAGGCAGATGACATCGACCTCATATTTGAAGACGGGGAATAAGCACGAGCTCTTTTGAATAAGCTGCCCACCATCACGCCATACGCAACTTCAAAGCGCATAGTCATGCTTCTGGATGTGCAGTCTTTGAGCGCACCTTTTAAAATTCAATCCGAAACACTGGATGCTGTTGTGCATTTTACATATCTCGGTAGTTGTACTTACTCGTTGTCACTTACTCATGTTCATCGCCTATGCCAGCTGACCGACTAATAGTAAATTTTTCTGTCGGTGGTTCTAGATCGTTACGCTGTTAATAAACAAGAGGGAGTTTCGACCTTTCAACGCAAGACTACATAACCAAAATTGTACGGTACACGACTGTGGTTAAGATATGTCCTGAATTTTATTCTCATTTTAAGCAGAATTATTATTTTCCTGCTTATATTAAGCACGATCAACTGCGTAGAGTCTGACCGAACGATTCCTCGAATGCTCACTGTTTGGTGAGTAGAAACGGGTCTCTACCACACTGGTTTTGGATGTTCCACGTTAACCGACAGGCACATCTTTGGTACCTTCGAAACTCCAGGAAATCTAGTGCTCACGGGCGCGGAGAAAAGAAAGACAACTTTCATATTTCTAAAAGACATGCGCCGTTTGGCGCGTAAGGGTCAAATGTTGTGGAACAATCATTTCTTAAATGGGACTGGTCATTGGAAAATTAACACAAGTATTTTGTACCTCTTCCAGTTTGGTGTTAATAATTTTTTTGCTCCTTAGGCAAATGATTCAATAGCCCCGTTTTTTGGGTGTAAATTACAGGACGTTTAATGCAGCTGTCAAAAAATCAGCTATTCTATCCTTTCACTATTTCTCTGGTTTGCTAACTCTGAGTGTTGCAAACCATTGGTTATTTCTTTACAAAACCACCCACTGATGCATTAGAACAGCTGAACTGGACAAGCTTATTCATTTGCATTTTGTGCACACATTATAGGCACTATTTCGGAACGAAAAGTAAAAAACAGTATTTTTCATATTATAAGGTAATTCAAATAATTTGTCCATAGTCGGGAGATTATTCTATGCCACTAAAACGATCTTAGAGATTTGTTTCTCTATTAATACTGTATGGCAGACCTTGTGTAAAGTATTCAACAAAATTATTCAGAGAGATATTATTACACGTTCTGAACATTCGGACTATTCCCCCGCGATTCAGTAAATTGAGGGCCAAACAACTCGCTCTGATCCCAGAGAGCGTAGTGGAGAAATCCACTTTCAAGTACTGTCATTACGGTAACAAAATATAAAGACTGTGTTGGATTGTGTATTCTGTGAGTGTTAGAACAGCTCCATTACTTTGCTTGCGAATCACTTTTGGGGGCGTATCTTTTCGAAACAACGTGCTCGGCACACTGATAATGCCTTCATTCGGCGGAATACGACAAACATAGTTGGGGAATACGTCCCGAAAATGTATTGTAATGCAGCGGAAGTTTTCATGTCCAACTTGGTTTGTCAATTAAATAGAAATCGTCTTTTTGCCATTAACCATCCATCATTCGTACGTTGCCGACCAAGTCACGCTTGGAGAATTGTGACATGTGCGCATTATTCAAGTCTGGTGACCCTGAAATTTGCTCGACATTGTTGTGGCAAATCTTGTGATATTCAAGTGCATTGTGTGCAATCTTTATAAGATCTATTGCTGTGACCAACGACGCTCCTGAACGTCATGGAATTCTCCGAAAGTGACCAAATGTGACTCTTGTCTGCTCTCTCGTGTGCGATGAATTAAAGTGAACCGGTATTGAGTTACAAAACGTCCAAAATAAATTGCAAAAGCAAAATCCGTAACAAGTGGTTCCTGGCGGTATCAAACTTTATATTGAACCTTCGACAAGATAAATCATGCACTTTCGGCTATTCCTTATTCGCTCCTCTTAACTGTGGTTCTCAACGGTTATGGCATTTTGGCAGCTCCAGCTGGAAACGTTAAGTTGCTTGGTGTTGTTCGCTGCGCAAAATTAAATGATGCTATGAGCATTATGCTTGCACGCCGCAGAACTCCGCCTAACTGCGACTTGTGGTGGCTTCAAGTTATCTGTCAATTTGGATTATGATGAATTCAACGTGTTCGCTCGTCTGACCAGAGAGCTGTCTTGGGCATGCTTTATCTCTACTTCATTACCGCATGTCACTATAATTCATTGGTATTGTGGGAAAAACGTGCGCCTGACCTCAGTTCACTGCTTTAATGTTATTTTTTCAGTTTGACAGTATTCTGAGGTTTGCATGTCAGATTTAGGTCTGCGTAACTTCTGTTCATTCAGTCTGTCCCAATTTAACCAAACGACCGAGTTTACTGTCAGTTTTTGATTGTGTCAGACATCTCAGTTTACTGCTCTGGAAGAGGAGGACCGCGTGCCGCGGTTTGAAACAAACACTAACTAAGTGGAGTCCGGCTGGGAAGCGTCGACAATAAGTAATATGCTTTGCTTTTCCGTGAGGTGTGCAAAACCAACATATTTCTCAATAAAAAAATGGGAAATTTGTGTTCAGAAAATATCTTACACCCTTTATTATATACATTATCTACACGTGTATTTTATTCGCTACTGGTATGCTTACCAGGAGAAAGGCTACCATAAGTCTAGTCGGCTTTTGTTTGGTTAACGACGGGGTGATTTCAAGTAAACACCTAACATCCGCCCATCATGTTCCTTCCAGAAAGTCAAGGTTTATCCTGCATTGCCAGGGCCGTTTAAAACCTCTAGATTGAACCTCATTTCATGGAAAGACAAACCTGGTTCATCAATGACGGTGCACGATCAGATAGCTACACTGAAGATGTGGCCGTGCCAATGCTGTTTTAACTCTTCACAGGGACAGGACGGTTTAAGATCTCAAAAGAGGATCTCACATCATGTACCTTATCATACGTCAAACGAGTCACCACGTCAGCGAGTGTTAGATGTACCTGGTTTACACCGTCTGAATAGCCTGACAAGTTCACGCTGAAGAGATTCGATTTACGCATCAGAAGAAAGCTCTGCAGGTATCTTGACTGACGAAATTTGGGCAACTGCTTGACAACTTGACTTCATTGCCCCACCTATTTGGAGTGGGCTCATCAGAATAAGTGCGCGGTAAAATTACAGTCTTCAAGCAGTAGTGGTGCGAAGTTTATATCTGTGAATACCACTACTTAAAAAGGTATAGATTTTCAACTCTTCTAATGTAACGTGAGGTACAATATGTTTACCTTCTGTTAGTGCGTAACTTGCTGACTTCTTCCTCCCATCTGTTCCAGCAGCAGAAATGCAGATTGCAGTCGGACTGCTATAGCGCGTTTTGGATGGAAACTGATTACGAGACTACTAAAGTTACGTGATGCTCATGTGAAATAGGTCTGCAATCAAGCTGGACATTTTCCTCACCATCATTTATGGTCTCAGCAGGACCTGCCTAATGAATCAACCCGCGGATGAAATCCGATCGGGTCAGAGTACCGTTTACAGTTTTTGGAGAGACAAGCCTGGTCCATCAATGCCGGTGCATGATCGGATAGTTGGAGTTAAGGTGTGGTCCTCCCACTGTGCTGCAGCAATGCTGCTTTTGTTCTTCACATAACGAAAAATTGCTGTTTGAAGGTCATCCATAAAACACGTTACTTGGCATTTTATTGTTTTGATCAAGTAAACGGTGATTTAATTCCTCTCGAATATCTGAGGGGCATTACTCTCAGACAGTGATGCATAATTTGTTTCGACCTGTTAGTCAGCCTTTCACGCGTGCGTCAAACAGCACAGTATTTGCTTCTGATAGCAGTTGCAAACTTCGTGTACTCAAAGATGAAGTCATTCCTCTGTCATTTGTACTTCCATTCCAATGTACGGTGACAATGTCTTAGCGTTTTATACCAAACATACAGTTGGTCCTCCCGCACACTCATTCTTGAACGGTTCTGATGACGTCAGATATATCGGCGGTCTTATACGCGGTTAGTAGACGCAAAAGCATTCGGCAGACTTTTCAGCTTCTTGTATCACACTATGTACCCGAGCACAAGTCTACGGTTGCATAAATACAAAATATGTATTACCTATCGACCTGGTTTACACTATTTTTATTTAAATTATGCCTGTCCATCCTACATGAAAGCCATGATGTGGATGCCCTAATAAGTGGTTGGGGCATGATAAATACCATCTTATTTTCTATCGTTTCCAGTCTCGACAGCTCCCATGATGTTTTTCCACCATTTGAATATCCTGCAGGTAATTGGGCCGCTCTCTCGTCTCATATGGCTTCTTCTGTTTGCTTCTTCTGTTTGATGCATCGTGTTATCTTCAAAGCTGGCCTTTACTTGCCCATCCTGATCTCTGACCAAACGTTTTCTGAGCGGCCAGTAATAAAAAACAGCCTCTGCCGGTGACTAAGAACTTGAGAAATTCAATGACTCCAAAGCTTCCGGTGATTCTTCCAATTGAACTTCCCGCTCACGAGGGACAGTTGGGTCTTTCTGCGTGTTATCGCCCGTTTATTGTATTCTTGCCTGGCTTACGAGTTTACTGGAAATTTGTTCCTTTCCCTCCTCGGTGCTCCTAAAGACAGACGTTCGGCCGAGCACAAACCGATTTCTTTATCCACTAGAATGCATGGATACTGACCGTACATCAGAATGAATAAGGACTTGCGACGGTTTGACCGCAATGGCTTGGTTGGTCAACCTGCTAGTCACCATAGGCACGGCTGAGCCAGGGAGCGGAGGAAACACGCGGATTATGGTAGGATTCGTGGACTCATCGAATGGATTCCATTGAAGTGAAGACAAATATCTGCAGGTTGTACAAAATTAGATAATCCAAGTCACGCTTAGAGAATTGTGACATGTGCGCTTCATTCATTTCAAGTCTGGTGACCCTGAAATTTGCTCGACATTGTTGTGGCAAAGCTTGTGATATTCGAGTGCATTGTGTGCAGACTTCAATGTGGACTGAATTGGTAATGTGAGGTAGTCTGTTTTCATAAACTGAGTTGAAAAATTTCACATTTAATGTACTCAAGAGTAAAAACTTGTCAAAAGCGTTCTAAAACTGATGGTTAACACCCGTCAGAATCAGGTTTATCACATTCAAGACAGATCAAGCACTCGATGACTAACGAACAATTGTGTTCATACGGAGTTAGAATATCCTCACAGTATGTTTGTAACGTCGCGGAAACAGCACACATAAGTGGCTATGACAAATTATTCCTCAACTATCTCTCGCAAACCATCCATCGCTGATTCAACATAAAAAATTGGTTACGTGGATTCAGGTTTTTCATCGTTTTAATAATGATAATTTGTATTGGTATGCATTGCCGAACATCCAAGGTCTGCATTACAGACTTTCAGTTGATAATGTTTTATTTTTTTGAAATATGATTTCAGCGGGCTAGTTCCATTTCGTGATAACAAAAGTCGCTGGTTTGACTTCGGCGATTTGGTAAACATGCGGAAAAATTAGCTATATGTGAGCGGTCATTGGTTCCACCTGACTGGGCAGTCCATCCCTACAACAAGTGCAGTGCCGGGCAAGGCAATCACACCGCCACCTCTGCATGCTCGATAATGTAGATGCGTACAGCGGGCACACGTGGAGTAGTGATTGCAAGGTCGCAGCGCACATTGGTAGTCCGGAGTTCAAAAGTTCGGCATGAGGATCACTATATTCTGTATAATTGCGGATTAATCACGTTGATGATCAGTGGCTCGTGGCCGAGCATTCAAACACGCAAACTATCAATCACCAAGTCATGGGTTCGAGACTCTGCGGATTTTCGTAAGATGCGCACTGTTAGTGATTGTCAATAAGGAAAAAAGCTGTACAGTATTTCTCTGCTCTTCAGCTTAGATTAGCTTCATTTACAGGACGAAATACCCAGTGAATCCTTAAATCTCCGCTAACTACCAACAATCTGTGAGCAGCTTATATGAAGAATAAAAATTCACGAAATTAGTAAAACCTGAGACTGAGAAGTCGTTGCTTGAGCAACCAGTCGACGCATATGACTGTCTGCTTTGAATCTCCCGACTGAAAGATAAGAAGTGCTTTGTTACACGTATTCGGCAACGGTACCACAATTACAAGTTTCAGCAATACTCTACCTTATTTTGAACTAATTACATGAATTTGTGATAAACTGATTTTAAAAGCGAGACACTTGTTGTGTAGGGTCTTAACAGAGAAACTGGCAGTAAAAAACGTTCCTAAAAATGTCTGCATTTGACAGCCTCGTTTTTTTCTTGAAGAAACTACTCTTTTGTTTAATTTCACCTGGCAAAAAATCAACCTCCCACAACACGCAGGACTAGCTAGAATCCTTCATTACAAGAAGTATGTTACGAAACTAATTTTGTTTATTTCTTTACGCTCGGCTTACGACAGGTTTGCACCAAAATCAACATGTGTGAAGTTGATGGGATTTTTTCCGCAATATTCTGTTAAATCACCTTCTCACGTCCCACTTGTTTACCTTTTACCCAAATCTCTTGAACACAATGCCATTAAATATTATATGGCTTTTCAATCAAGCTTTGGTGAAATCAGTAGTGTTTAGCATACGCCGACGTCTAGAATTTACACACGTTACTAGTTTCCCAATTACGTATTATTGTATGCGATATGTTGAGACAATATTTTACGCGGACTGGTCTAAAGAACGTTGCTAATGCACTAATATTATTACCAAAAATAATTTCATATCGAGAATTTTGATGAGCTCATCTTACACACATACGAATCCAAATTCTTTGCTTGGCTAGTAAAGAATCTACAACGCGCCCAACCCAGCCTTTTATCATGAAAAAAAATATTTTTTGAGACGAGGTAATCGTTGATCACCGCATTTCTCTTAATAGCTTACTCTCATGATCGTTAAAGCAGCAATCGGGATTATAAATACCAGACGTCATTTTTATCCTAAGTTCCCAGTTTGGGCCTTTTGATGACTACCATTGAGTGCAATCAATATCGGCCGACGTTTTGCAGCCAATGCGCACGTTTTATTCGGCTCCTGTTCACATAGATAACTCACATTTTGTTTGTTTTATTTGGTGACTAGTATACGACAATGACTTCACACTTCACGGAGTAATTTACATTAAAGGGAAAACGCGATATCCTATATCAAATCTTTGCTTAGCTTGTGACATTGTGCAATTTAACATGTGATTTACTGCACATTTTATTTTATGTGAAACTGCGCCAAATTACTATCATTCTCATAATCATATTGTGTAATTTTACTTCCGCGTTGACAATGCTGTAGCGCATGTTTCATAAGTAGCGTTTGCATCATCATTTGCGTTTGGATTCGCTCAGCATAGGACATTTGTATTGAATTGGTTGAGGTGGACGTTTTTGATTTGAAACTGATCGGTGGCAATACGTCTGAGCTACAGGTAGTCTTACTTCCGCGACAGCAAAATAAATTCAGTAGTTTTCATTTTCGCATTTATACGCACGTATATATGTTTTACTTTTCAGTCATCGTGTATCTACTGACGCAAAGAACACCTAATTTGTCAGTTAGCCACCCAATGTATGTTAGTTTAATTAAAAGGCAGATAATTTTTTCCATGCAACGTACCATGCAAGCAAACGACCTTAACTCCCTCTCTCCGTAGGCAATCAAAAACCTATCTAAGCCGCTTATCCAACCTACCTAAGCCGCCTATCCAAATTGGCAGCATTGTTATAAGCCTTGAATACTTTGTCTGGGCTTTTCAGTGCATCCTTTGGTACCCAGTTTGAGCTAAATTTTGACACCTCGCCGTCGACTTGGCCTTCAGTGATCCATTATATCACAAATAGAATGTGTGGTAAAAAGTTTTGATTGTCGCGGTTGACCGTCCTCCACAATAGAACGGTTAAAATCCCGTTAGACAAACGCAACGGAACTTGTATTCAGCAGAATAAAGTCAAAAGTGTAGGTTCGTCTAAGTGACCGAAGTTGGACGATTGCGGCCGTAAGATAAGCTCTTCTATCAGTAAGTAACATTTCAAACTAGCGAGCAGTTTTGCAGATACACTTTGAAAACACTTGCACCTTATTTTCTTTTTAGTTATATCATGTCGTATGCTACAATTGATACGCAAATTTGTTGCTAAGCGCGCAGCATTGCATGATTTGTGTAGATAAAATGAGCTCGTGACTTTTGTCACTCACTTCGTACTCGCATATTCCACGAGAGTGACACAGAACGGAAGTTAGTTTCAACATTGCAAGCAAAACATAACGCGACAAACAATGTCAGACACATGGATATCCACCTAAACATTTATGCACACCTGTCACTCAAATAAAGCCAAGAAATACGCAATGGATGCAAAAACCTTCTCGAATATGGTCTACTCTAGATGTATTTCAAAAAACTGGTGTGGCTTGAAACGCATTGCGTGCTCAATCTTTTTAGTTAAGAAACACCATGAATGTGATTGTGGCTTAGTGCATTTTTCACCTCGAACAAGTGACCGGCTTTGGGAGAAACAGATCCTCAATAATTAACGATATATAAATTTGCTTCTGGATGCTCCAACTTATGATCTTGCCCCAATTGTACTGAGTTACCTTTTCGCCGTTTAGTTTCATATCCCAGACTAACCAAACCCGCCTGTAGAAAAAAATGCAATGCGAGAGACACAGCATTGCGACTTATATACTGAGGTAAAATATTATGAAGTTCTTTAAACCAAAAACGAAAGCTTTCTGACAATGTTTCGCAAAATTTATTCAATGGATGCAAATGACCCTATTTCAGTAAATAAGTTGTTGGCATTCTGGCCGAATATCGCTGTCGCTGCAAATGATGGCGTGCAAGTTCATCTGTAAGAAGGAATGTTGTCACAACATCTTTACTGAAATTCAAAGGTCCCATCAAAATGAGCTGAATTGTGCAAAACATAGACGAATAGTTCAATACACGGTGTTTGGCAAACGGTGTCATCTAAAATAATGTTTTCAGTTTTGCGTTTGAGACTCAAAACCACCAAACTACTTAAACTTTACGCATCGTTCGATAACTTTTGGAAACACTACTCTAAACCGTTGTTGCGGACAAAAATTTAGATTCGTGCAACGCATCATTTTATGCGACCCACCATCATGTTTTTCAGAATCGCGAGAGAGATGGCTGATGGTACTGCACGCTCCTTCACAAATGCATTTTTACACAAGGTAAGGTTATGTTATAAAAATCATGTTTAGGGTAGAGAAAGCAATTACATGC